AATAATTTAATAAATAAAGAGTAGCAGAACCAATTGTTAAACTAAGCTTATTAAAATATAAGATCCATAAAAATACAAAAACAAAAACCGAGCTGTTGTATTAAATGAACAATAATAAATGGATAAAGCTAAAAATGTATTGGAAAAAGGTTCAGCAAATTTATATAAAAAAGAAAACTTTAGAAATTACGATTTACAATTTACAATTTTTTTTTTTTTTAGTTTTCTATATCTCTGAAAAAGCTTTCTTTGCTTTTTTACTTTTGTACTAATACAAATTTCTTATAAGTATTCCAAACTTCTGATTTCCATGAATCGTGTACCTTTAGCTACGTTTCAATTACAATTGGTAAAAAATAAAAAATAAAAATAAATAATTATAAAAGATGACTTAAAACATGACAAAAAGCAATCGAAAAATTATACTATTAAATACAGTTATAAAGCCAAAGAGCTATTAAAACAAAACTTAGTTAAATGTTATAAATATAAAAACAAAAGAAAACAGAAAATTGATGTAAATGTTAGCGATATTATTGAGAAATGTGACAAAAACAAAAAAATAAAAAAAAAACGGAAAAAAAATAAACCAAAAGAAAAATATACACAAAAAGTTGCCAAAGACAAACTTGTTTCATTTCGTAGCTTTACAGAGTAGACTTATTTATTATCATGAATACATTCAAAGCTTAGTATCTATATTTGGTGGAATAATCTTTGGGTGACACCACCAGACCACGTCCTTTGCGTGCACCACGATACACCGTCTCCACAATGTCAATCATTTCCTGCTTATCCTCCAGAGGCCAATTGATCTTATTATTGTTACCGGTGCCCAAATCAATCATAATGTGTTTATTGCGAAAGAAGAACATGACTGTGCAGGGATCGTACAACTCGTACATCTTATTGAAATCGGGCACCTCCGTTATATCCACCAGATAAATGACGGCAAAGTTTTTCACCTTCTCGGCGATGCTGTACATTACCTCGTCCATTTTCATGCATGCCGGGTCCCAATCGTGTCCAAAACGTATAACCTAAATAGTTTCAAGGTGTTAATCGACCCAATTTGAGACTTCGCTGGGCGAGACGGAACGGCGAAAGTATCTTTACTTACAACAACTCGATCTTCCTCTGAGAGTATGGCCTGGTCCACTTGCCAGCCATTGTGCAAATGCGGTAGCATATACGACATTTTGGCAAATTGCTTTTATTTATGTTATTTGCAAAGAAAACTAAACGTAAACAAATCACAAGCGAATGTGTCTAAATAAGTGTAACCATGCGCTGATAATTATTAATCGAAATTGTCATCGATACGTTTTATTTGGCCTGGAATATTTTTGGTGCTGCCAACTTAGCTGCGCGCCAAAAGCTGAATATTCAAATTTGAGGAAAACGAGAAATTTACAATAAATAGGTGTTTTATTAGCCGTAACTAGTCTGTAGCGTTTTTATCAGTTCAAATATTTTTGCCTAAAATTATCTATCTGATCCAGCACTTTAACTGTCATCTCGTTAATGAGCTCATCTCGACTTTGCTGTGAGTAATCGGGCAAACTACGCCGCGTGACGTAATGATTTGGCAAATTGACCTTGTGGCGGCCAATAGACTTGATGATCAGCCAAAGAATGTAGAAACTAAACCATACTGTGAAGTACAGTGGAATGTACCAAAGTTTGCGACCAATATAGAAATAACTGTATTTCTTGACACGGGGCTCTGGCGGCGGTGGTGGAGGTGGTGGAGGTGGTGGTGGTTCAGTCGGTGGTGGTGGTGGTGGCGGCGGTGGTGGCGGTGGTGGTGGTGGCTCCACATGATGATGATGATGCGGATGGTGATCGTAAATGACCTCTGGATACGAAACATCTGCATACGAGGGATAAACTTCTGGGTAGTGATCGTGATGATGATCATGGAAATGAGGAGGTGGAGCATGCTCCACATAATCGTGACCGTGCTCGTGCTCCGAATAGTGCTCGGGAATGTGCTCAGGGATATGATCGTGATCGTGATCGTGACCATGATCATGGTCGTGGTCTGCTGGCTTTGGTACCGCAGATTCCGGATGCGACTCTAACCAGCCAGGCGGTGGTGTAGCATATTCCATATTGGGATCATACTTATTGTCGTCACTGGGACGAGTACCATCTGTTTGCAAAGGTGGCAGAGCCATATCATCGCCGCCACCGCCTGTATCCCCATCGCTATCGGAACCACCCGCATCAGCGGGTGCTGCGTCCGCGCCCGCATCCTTGCCAGCTTGATTGTTAGAAGGTGGTATCATGTCCTGGGCACTGGCAGGCAATACACCAATCACATCATCATTCCCTGGATCATCGTCTGGCATTGCAGCAGGCGCAGCACTCGCTGTACTAGCAGCGGGCACTTTGTCCCCATTAGCAGGCTTTGGATAGGAATAGCCGGACGAGCCAATTACTGGGCCAGGATACACATAGCCTGCGTTGCTTAAGTCGTTGCCTGATGCTGGAGGCAAATAGCTGGTAACTGCATCCGATGGCTGAGCTGCCTTCGGATCATCCGAGGGCGAGGGATATTTGTTATTCAACGGTGGAAAGGAGTAGGTATCCTTGCCGGACACGTACGAGGGCACCACATTCGAGCCAGCTGCCAACTTGCCTGGCTGTTGATTATGAGCCTTGAATAGGTTCGCGGCAACATTCTGGCCAGGCGCATAGCGATCTATTTGGCCTGCAAATATTAAATGAGTCAACATATGTGCTGGATTTTGGCGGATCCACCCGATACATACCACGTTTATAGCCAGCCTTGGGCGCCTTTGGGCGACTGCCCATCGAATAGATGTGATTCTGCGAAGGACGCGGCTTGGCACTAAATTGCTGGGGCCGCGCCTTCATCAGCGGCGATATCAGCTGTCCGAAAGGATATGCAGGACGATAGTCCACGGCACGTCCCGTTGAAGCTGCCTCAATCAAACCCTCCGCTGGTGCCTCGCTGGATTCGATTGGCAGTTCCGTTGTGCTCACACTGACAGGCGTCACAAACACAGCCGAAGGCTGCTCCACAGCTGCTGTCGACTCCGCAGGCGCAGCCGAATCTTTAGCTGGCTCCGGCTGATGGTTGTAGGGTATGGGCAGGGGCAATCCCGGTGTCGTGGACACCACATTCTCGCTTGAATTGAAGCTGCGAAAAGTGACGTGGTTTATGTCTAATCCTTAGGCACTCATTTGTTAAACTCACGTTTTCGGATATATCAAGTCCGTATTCAGCGCTTTAAATATTCGCGGTCCCTGATCCGTAGCAGCTCCACTGCCACTGACCAGTACCTGAGAATAGGCCTCGATCTGAGAGGGCAACAAGATGGAGCCGATCAACAGGCCAATGACCAAAAGCAGCGCAAATTTTGCGCCGGCTCCTGGCATTATATATTATATATAGTTCGATCTTATATTAACACAGGACACTTCTTTATATTTGATATCGCACACACTGCTCCTTTTTTATAAACCGAGCTTTTACGCACTCGTCATATCCGCTCGAGCTCCGTCAACCGTGTGCATTGCACTGCGCGATATTCTCGAATCCACTGAACTGCGCTGCGCGGATTCGGTTTTATTTAATGTCTCTGAGCGATCTGGTATTTGATTTCGTTTTTTCATGACCCACTTAAGGTGCTACTAGAAGTGCTCTATATGCACGATATATATACAACGAGATACATATACATATATATGTATTTGTGGTTATCATAGACCATGCTGCATGGACAGCACTTTCATTTCGAGGCTGAGGTGCTAATTGATTCTTACTCCACATATGCCTCTGCATCTGCCGTTATGTTCTTTAGCGGCGTATCCAAAATATGGAAAGACTTAAAAACGAAGTCTGTCCGCCTAACATAACTGGAGTCTGCTCGAGCTGTGGCTGTGGCGTGTGTCTGCAATTTTGCAACCAATTAGAAAGCTTTTTATTAACAACAATTTAATTATGAACTTGTGCTTCCAAAATAAAGAAGTATTTACTGTATAACTTCATTCTGATTTATGTATATAGTATATACAAGTATTTAAATTTTTGAATACAACTATTTTAATCTCCATCTGAGAATATATCAATTAAGCTTCTCTGTAATATAATATACTTAATTACCTATATATAACAATACTATTTTATTTTGATTTTTTTTAACAGAATTATATTTATATGACGCTTAATGTTTTTACTATAAAAAATGTACATACATAAATATTGTTATGAATACAATATTATAAAAAAAAAAAAAAATTATAGTGCATATTAATAATATTAACCCAATATATTCATGGTTTCTAATACAAGTCGTGTGCTTAGTAAAACCAAAAGGTGCTAATCAATATGAGTACTATTTGCCTCGATAATAGACCAACGCCTATGGGGCCTAAGATCAAATCTCTGAAACCCAAATTAAAACATGTAGATTAAAATAAAGCCATGGCGCATATGTCAACCAGAGTCTATGGATGTGGGTCAATATATGATTCCAGCTAGGGCGTGCCAGAGCCGATTAACACCTAGTCAGGCGTGCTATACGATTGTTGATTTAGTTCATTCTCGGATCGAAAGAAAAATATGGATTCAAGTATACATAGTATATGGGAAAAGGGGAATGGAAACAGAGCAAGTTCTACAAATTTGCCTTTTAAGGAAAACTTTTACTTATTTACACACACATATACATACAAGTTGTCTTTTGTTTTTTATTTACCAGAAGTGTTCGTATATTCCATATAATAATTGCAAGTCTTTCGAATGTTAGTACATAAGTTGTGTTTGTCAGTGAAACAAGGAACAATAAAATCGAACGTTTTGAAAACTAACATAAAAGAACAGATTTTTTTTTGCGAGTCACGAATATGCTGCAATAGTTGCACAATTAAAAGTTCATCAGATATTCACAGAAACACAATGAAACTTAAATTATAAAATGAAAAGTCATTTGTCGAACATAACATTAGATTACAAGCAAACGTCTGGGCTAATGGGATAACGAAGTATATATGTACAGATGCTTGGCACATCCTACTACAAGCAGGCGTCCTTTAGGTAGCTTTTAAAATGGCGAATTCATGCCCAGCTTGGTGCCAAAATCAAGACGCGCTCGACGCTGATAGCGCGCATTAACTCTGCAAAGGAAAACAGATTATTTAGCATTTTAATTATGCCTCCTATGTATATTTAATTGAACTCACTTGTTCTCCTGCAGCTTGGCCATCTCGCTGACGATGAGACTCAGCAAGCTGCTGCCAAAGAGCACGAGCAGCGGTATCCACAGCTGCGCCAGTAGCCCATCCAGCGTCTCATCCAACAGCAGTTGCAGCCCACAGATGAGGCCGTGCAGCAGCAGCACCGCCAAGCAGGTAAATGCCCAAATGTGGTTCCTCAATGGATTGCGCTGCCAGAGCGCATGATCACGATGCACAAATGTCAAAGAGACGAGAACTGGGAAGAGAGGGGAAGAGCAGTAATTAAATCGCTTGTATATAAACAAATAGCAATGACTAAAACTGGTTATAGTATGACAATGTTTATCTAATCTATAAAAATAGAAATGGTCTGCTCATACGAGCTTATCTTTATGTTTAATAAATATGTGATTTAGATAAACCGAAACAATTATAAACCAAAATCAAAAGCTTATCACAAGAAGGCTAGCATATAGTTAATATTTGTCATTTAGTATTAATCTGACGTTACATTTATAGATATTGATTCAAGGTCGCACTGAACTTGAGTAAAAGTAAATTAAAGTCTGTAGAAGTTAAGTTTGATTATATGTTGTTTATGCTATTATATTATATAATCTGTCTAAGTGATTCTGAGCTCTTTCGACCTGCTAACTACACCTGTGAAGCCCACTAAATATAGTCGTTGTCTATCTAATACTTAGCTTAAATTTAATTACCAAAATGCAGGAGAACAGCAAACAAAGCGCAACTGCGCGCTATATAGAGACATTGATAAAATTCCACCTCAAGCTCAAAATCCTCTACCTCATCGGAGCCAGCCTCTTCCTCGCGACTGGCCAACGTTTGCGTCATGCACATCCAGTAGCCAATGAGCTGCAAGAAAGTAGCTTTAATGCGAGGCAATTGATAAAGTTAAGCCCTGCACGCACCACCGCAACAACGGGTACTAGGAATTTACAGCCGTAGCACCACATGACAAAGGCAAAGGCACGCGAATCATATTCGGTTTGCTTCTTGCTGGTAGCACGATTCATAATCTTGGGATCGAGATCGATGTGCGCCAGGGAGATGGCAATCAATGGCACCGGAACACACATCAAATAGATGCCCAGCAGCGGGGTGAGCAGTGGCGGCAGCGAGAGGCACGCGCACAGCACATTCAATATCGATATAGAGCCGGCACAGCAGGCCCAGAACTGTATGCAATTCCACAGCCCCAGCGAGAAGCGGCGTGACAGCTCAATTATGGCCACCAGCGAAAGCGGGTCGTCGCGACATATGGCTATCGAGCAGGGCAGAGAGTTGAGCAGCCGGCTCAAGTAGATGGGCGAGACGGTGTGCGGAGGTGATTGCATGGCGCGTGCTCCGCTGCCGCACTCGAGCAGCTGCTCGCTGACGAATGGCTCATCTTTAGCATCTTTGCCTTGGCATTGGCGTTGCCAGTGCAGCTTATTGTTCTGTATATTAGCCTCCGTATAGGCATCCACATCCTGGCAGACCTGCGGGTAGAGGGGCTCCACAGCAATGCTGCAGTCGGCTTGCAAGAAGATGTTCGCATTGTCGTTGCTCGCCGAGCTGCCCAGGCAGACGACAATCTCGCCATAGGACTGCATGATATCCAACATTTGACGAGTGGCCTCCGCCGAGCAGTCTGTGAATAGCGACACCTGCAGCGGCACATTATCCACCTGCTCCAGATGTGGGCGAATGTTCTCTATGCCTCTCGGCAGCTTTGCACGATTCGACATGTCGAAATTGATGGGCGCACTTTGATCGGTGCTCTCCGTGAGTGTGCTCAGTGAGCGGCAGTTCTCATCCATAGCCGAGTCGAGGGAATGTCGCTGCTTATGCCGCTCGGGATCGGGCTCTTCCTCGATTGTTAGCTCCGCATTCTCATCATTATCTTTGCTTGCATCTAGCCCATCAGCTGCATCTGAGGTTTCGGCTGGAACATTGCATTCATCGGGATTCGATATGGCACCGGGCGCCGAGCAGCTTAACGTTTTTGAGGACTCCAAATTGTTAGGCGGTTCGAGCAAGTAGCTCAGCTTAGGTCCATCCGGCGGATCACCTATAATATCAGTAGTCTGTTTAGCGATTGGCGTGCCTGTAACATCCCCATCGGGTTGCTGAATGTGCATGACGTGGTCACTGGGTAAATGAATGGCAACAGTATCTGTGGTGGTGCTGGTGGTTTTGGTATTGGTGTTGGTGGTTGTTGTATTGGTCTCATTGATTATTTTACCCGCATGCTTGGACGACTTGCTCGGATTGTCCGATTCCTTGACTTTGCTAGCCGTTGGCTTCTCTCGCTCCGGCTCTGGTTCGCTGAGCAACGAGATGTGACAATTCCAGCCGGACTCCAGACCCATCTTCTCAGAGAAGACACGCGACCGCAGCTCGTTCTCCTTGCTGAAGTGCACGAAGCGTATGCACGCTCGCTCCAGTCGCTCCACCAAATGCACAATGTCATTCTGCGCCTGATACTGCATGGTGACCATGCCAATGAACACCTGATGGCACTGCATCTCAAAGCAGCCCTCCACATCATTGCAATCCTCATCCTTGCTCTCCGAGAACAGCAGCGAGTCCGTGCTAATGCTGTGGCTCAGCTTCACATGGTGGCCACCCTCAAAGTCGCAATGCGACTTATCCACATGCTGCATGCGCAGCTTCGACTCTGGCGGCAACTCCAGATAAGCAATCTGTCCATTGCTGTGCAGCGGCCCACTCAACGCTCCATGGATGCCATGGCGCAAGGGTCGATAGGCGAACGCTGTGCAGTACGAAGTCAAAGCGCTGCGCTGATAAAAGTCCAATGCACGCTTTCGATCCTGTGGCGAGAGCGGCCGCAAGTCCTTGCCATCCCAGAAGTCATCGCAGCAGTCTAATATAATGTCCGCCGTGCCCTGCGTGAACAGCGAGAGATAGCCGCCCGGATTCTCACGCATCACCACCGACAAGGAATGAGGAAAGGGCACCTTCACCTTGCTCGAAAGCTGCAGCTGGCGAGCGAAGCGAATGTCCCGACGCACAACATCCGGTTGCTGCGAAAGAAGGGGGAGATGCATAAACCAGAAATGGAATGGGTTAGTCTGTATATTATCTTGGCAGACCAGCCACGTATAAGCCTCTCTCTGTCTGTCTCTCTCCGACTTACCAAGTGCCTATAGCTGGCCAATTGACCCTCCAGTGCAAAACGATCCGTTGCATGATCGGTGAAGCCAATCTGTTTGGCTAGCTCGCACAGACAGCGTCTGGTTCAACAAATCGAACACCATGTATAAATATATATATAGAAAACCGATTAGAACTGGCACCAACTGCTGGACTTGCGAAGGCTGATGGCTGAGTGGGTGCGTGTGTGAGAGCATGCGAGGCATTCAAGCGTAATATGTATATATATACGATTTGTATATATACTAGATGGGGGGCATTTGGGAGGGATGTTTGTTTGGATGGGGGCCGACTGTATTTGAAGCATTCTTGGCAACATAATAATTGTTGTTACTTAAAATAGCATGCCAATTAACATTAGACAAACGTATGTAGTGCTACGGATGGGATGGACGAAAAGTGCGTTCCATTGACAAACAACATATAACAAACAATGAGAATGTACAAAATCAACATTAAATAAAACCTTAATATATATATCTATATATACAAAAATAGAAATATATATGAATACAATGAAAAAGTAAAGAGGTCATGTAATTTGTTATGTTTTGCTGAATTTTTTAGGATTTATGTACAAAAATGAAATAAATAAATAATTTGCCTCAAAGTGAGCCAATTAAAATTTAGCTAAGAAATCATTCGCATATCTAAAATACTTAATGGATTTCTCGATTGTTTGTTAAACTGAAAGTCAGAAATGATTAAATTGATTTAAGAATAGTATAACTTTACCAATTGCATGTTTTGTTTACATATAGATATACTGTACTATATCTTTTAGGGAGTTTATCAATCCAATTTGAAGTGTCGGGTGTTTTGCAATCAAAACAAAAATCAAAAATTATAGCGTTGCCCCACAATAAACGTGGGCAACCCAGACTTGGCGCATATACGCAATGCATATATGCCTTATAATAATAATAAAATTAAAATAAACAATACAAGACCAAATTTGTATATAGATAATGTATATAGATAATCAATTATCATTATCGTAATAAAAGAAGAATCGGTTCTGTTTTGGTTAAGGCAACAATGATAGCAATGTTATGGCAATGAACTACGTACCCATGCAATAGGCTTTTCATACTGGACTCAAACATCGCATACCGATTCGTGACGGGCACCAGATCTTTGTCGAGCATGGCCACGGCGCTGACATGGCCACAGAACTGCGCATAGTGCTCGTGGGTCAACGGCGAACAGGTGTTCAGTAGAATGGCCAGACCTATTAGGAAGATATTCGATTTAACAAACATCAATACAGATATTCTTCTGACTCACCCAAAGGCTTTAGTGATTTGATATGCGCCTTCCACTCGTGATCGTCGAATTCCAGGCGGAAGGGGCAGTGTTGATCGTGAGTGAGATCGAGTACTTCTGCCACGACCCCTCGCTCCTTGTTCTCCGGATCACCGACATTGTCGCTTTCCGTGGACATAGACAGCTGGCTGCCACCGTCCTGCGGCTCCTCTTCGGTGTTGTGCAGAAAGAAAACCTTTTCGGCAGTGGGATTGGGCCATGAGAGGATGCCTTTCTTGTCCACACAGCAAAGCGCAGATATGGAGCCAAGCACCTGCACCAGATTGGCCGAGCGCGGCAACAGTTCGCTGTCACCCTGCCACAGCTGCATCCAGATGCGCAACACATTGGAGCGTAGCAGCGAAATGCTATCGTAGTCATAGCCTGGTGTATCTATATCTAGGTCCTCAAACGATTTACTGGTGCACTTCTCCAGTATGGCCTGCGGCGTTTTCAGGAAGCACTGCAGTCGCGCAATGCCCCACAGATTCATGGAAATCCACAGCACTGGAAAAACCAATGGCAACAAGGGTATAACAGCCGCTGCTGGTGAGCCAATCAGAACATGTCGCCAATTGTGCTTCTCATCCGTGGACAATCCATAACCGTGCAGACGCAGCAGGCCCGCAAAGAGAGTGATGACCAAGGCGCTTATAAACCCCCATTGTTGTATGTACTTTGTCACCAGCTTAAGACAAAAGAGCACAGTTTTATAAAGAATAATTGTTTGAATTAGTAATGATCTCTTACCAAATAGCGTTGTTGATTGTAAATGGTTGGGGGTCGTTTCAGCGAGTTCTTTAGGCACAAACGTAAGTTCTCCAAATACGGCGTGCGCTCGAGGCAGCATACTAAATCGGGCAGCGGCGCACGTGCCGTTGGTTTGACTGGCGGATCGCCAAGCTGCGCCGCAGAGATGCCATAGATTTCGCTGGTATTGAAAAACCGTTTAGTCTGCAGCTCATGGCAGGGTCCAGGCGATATGTGACCCGGTCGCAGCACAATGTAATCTCCACGCACCAACAGCGCCCAGGGCAGATTAACTATATGCCCATCTCGATAGGTCCACTGTAGTGAGACGCATGGAGACATGGGGTTATTTAGATGCGGATAGTTCGATTCATGCCAATTGTCGCTCAGATGCTGCTCGGCCAGCCGCAGCTCCGACAAAGCATGTCGAGTCTTTCGAAAGATTTCCGTACGTCGCAAATTACTCTCCCTAATGACCACATATAAATCCACCAGCAGAATGATAAGCAAACAAATTGCGGGCCAGAACATGCCTGTGATCAAGAGAGCGCCGCTTGTCACCAGCGTCGTGCCGATTGATAGCCAGCCGAGGGGGCTGTCATAGCGCTTCATGAATGCCGCACGAAATTTACAAGTGCAGCTAATTGAAGAGTAGGGGATACAAGTTGGGTATTATTACACTTAGAGGTCATTGATTGTGCCCGTACGCAAGCATACCTCTCTGCTCTGCTCGCCCGCTCATGCTCCAGCAGCACGTTCTCAATGTCCTCGTGCAGCCGTGAAAGTGCCACCTTTGTGGTCAGGCCGTATTGTATGTTTTGCTTACGCGCAGACTTCGACGACGACGTCGACGGTGACGCCGATGGCATACGCCTTCCTGCCTCTGGCACGGCGTCTGCGTCAGCGTCAGCGTCACCTTTGTCATTGCTACATTTTGGCTCCGTTGCTGCCTCTGCTGTGTTTTCGCTCGGCATCTTACCGTCTTAAACCGCAAATTTAATATTACTTTCAGTTAGCATACGCCTGTCTAACACATTGTTTTCACAATATCTCTATGCACTGGTTGCTGCTGCTGCTAGAAKGCGTGTGTTTATTTGTTGCTGTTCGCTTTGCTTGTGCGAAATACATATGTGCACGCGTTGCCAAACGTGCGTTGCGCTGCTGCCACTATTTGCATACAGTTGGCAACGCTACTCACTGATAAGAGGCGCAGTCAAACTTTTAAAAAGAGACGCCACTTGTCAAGGTTTGTTTACATTGAGATTCCCCTATCTCTAAAAGGTGTAAGCTATTTTATATTTTCTAAATAATTATTATTTTCCTTTAATCCAGTTAATAGTAAATTCACATTTATTACTCTAGCCAATCTACTGGCTTAATGATATTTGTTTTATCAGCATCGATAGACCAACTATCGTCAAGTGTTTTTGTAATTCGCGATATTTTTCAACTTGTCCATCTTTTGTTGTTGTTGAAGAGCAGGTCGTATATACAACATTTGCCATGGAGCAGATCTGCCGCACATGCATGACCAACTCGGTAGCTCTCGTGGATATATTCACCGATCAGCGGGAACCTAGTTTGGCCGCAATGCTCTGTGAGTGCGTCGCCTCCATCACAATCAATTTAAATGATGAGCTGCCACAGAAAATGTGCCTTTCGTGCATTTGTGATATACAAACTGCATTTGCATTCAAGCGCAGGTGCGAGAAAAGTCATCAGGTGCTTAGCGAGAACTTAAAAAAAAGTGAAATGCTAGATGCAATAAAGGTTGAAGTACCAGAGGCGGACACATACGTATTGTTGGGCACTGAGTATAATTTACAAGAGGAGCAAAATGCATGCAAAATAGAAGACAATGATAACAGCAGTTCCATTGTTGCTGTATCTAATCAAAATCCATCTAACCTTCAGCTGAAGAGCAGCGAAGCAAATATACAGTCAGAATTGCTGGAAACAGAGAACTGGGAACGGTCAGACCTAGATATGGATATAGGTTGCATCAAAGTGGAACAAGAGGCGCAACAAGTTGAATCCAATCCGCTGACAGATGACGAAGCGAACCAAAAAGAGTTCGAATCCAATGCTGCCACAGAACATTCTCCTAGGAGAGAGACCAAAAAGGGGCAATTTACGTGTCCACACTGCCCAAAAAGGTTTTCCCAAAAATGTCATCTCAACTCGCACATTCGCATCCACACAGGCGAGAAGCCATTTAAATGCCCGCATTGTCCGAAAGCCTTTAGCCAGGCTTCAAATCTCCGCAAGCACATGTGCATCCATTCAGGTGAACGCCCGTTTAAGTGTCCCCACTGTACGCGAGCCTTTACGCGCCACACGGATCTTCAGTACCACGTCTCCACGCATCCAGGCAAACAGACTTACAAATGCCAGAGCTGCACAAGATATTTTATTGAGGAGGCCGAGCTTGAGGAGCATATGCGATATCATAATGGTGAACGTACTTACAAATGTCAACTTTGTCCAAGGGAATATGTTCTCGCCTGGCAGCTGCAGCGGCATATCCGCACGCATACGGGCGAGCATCCATTCAAGTGTCCGCATTGCCCCAAAACTTGTGTTGACAAAGGAGAGCTTGGCAGGCACATACGGTCTCACACTGGAGAGCGTCCACACAAATGTCCACAATGTCCAAAAGCCTTTACTCGAGCTAGTTATCTAAAAGCGCACATAAACGCTCATACTGGACATTAGTGACTTTTAGTGTTAAACTGAAAGTTGATTCTGTAAATATATAAATTAATGTAATGTTATAATTAGCTATATATTAAATTAAATGTGTAATATATATGTACATGTATATGATTAAAGATTTAAATTTTAATTGAAATCAAAACATTTAAAAACTATATTAATTCGATTACATTTTTAGATTTTGAAAAATATCGATATCTCGTTCTGTTTAATATCGATAGGCGATGTTGCGATAACAGACTGAAAAAAGTGTTGGCAATTGATTTCATTAAAAAAATATATTATTTTATGCCTGTGCGTAGCAAAAACAAATAAAAGCTTCTATATGGACTCCAGGCTGGATGTAAGTGCTTAAGCCGAAGACAAGAAACATTTCCTTGCCAAGGAACTTCTATTAACTGTGTTCGTTTCATAGATGTTTGAGGACGTCAATACATCGCCCTCTTTGGAGGGCGACATGTCTATACCGGGCAAACGCACGACAACAACATCACAACATGGAGTGCCCGAATATAACACCCTGGACGAGCCCATACGTGAAACGGTGTTGAGAGATATACGCGCTGTTGGCGTAAAGTTCTATCATGTGCTCTATCCCAAAGAGAAGTCGAGTCTGCTGCGCGATTGTACGTCATCAGAAGCCACTGCAATATGTATGCGTCAGCAGTTTGTAATGTTTACATTTTTTTCTTACAGGGGATTTATGGGGTCCTTTGGTGCTGTGCACCTTTATGGCTACCATTCTGCAAGGCTCCTCGTCTGCGGACAGCATGTCTGATAATGGACCCGAATTCGCGCAGGTCTTTGTGATTGTTTGGATAGGTGCAGCCATTGTAACGCTCAACTCCAAACTGCTTGGTGGCAATATGTATGTAGCTCAAACAGCAACTATTGTATTTACTTAACTATTACATTATTTACTCTTTGTTGAACAGCTCATTTTTCCAATCGGTTTGCGTGCTCGGCTATTGCCTAACACCCATTGCTCTTTCCTTAATCATTTGTCGTATCATATTGTTATCCAGTCAGACGCGTTTTCTTTTCTTCTTACGCTTTGTTACCACGACACTAGGCTTTGCCTGGGCTACATACGGTAAGTAGACATATGGTGTATGATAAATCATGCCTTCATTAATTATTATTTTCTTTTATTTTATTGTGCAGCTTCGTTTATCTTTCTGGGTCAAAGCCAACCGCCGCATCGCAAGCCACTCGCAGTCTATCCCATATTTTTGTTTTTCTTCGTCATATCCTGGCTGGTGTTATCGCATAATTAGTTATTAGCTGTGCTTAGTTTATAAATTGTATCAACTTTCCATAGCATAACCAAATCGATTGTAAATTTATATATATATTTTAATTTGATAACTGTGACCATGCCATGTTTTAAGGTACAAATTGCTTTTTATTTATTTTAATTCTTAAGATCTTACAATGTATATATATAGATATATGTATATGTGTGTGTTTTGGTTAAACGTCCAAACTGTTAGCTGACGTGGCTACCTCGAGAGACATTTGCATTTGGACGCCATCGCCTCTAGTGGGGCGATACGTTAACGAATTGGCACGCGCCTTGCGGCCCATAAAGTGCCGTTCCACCCACTTGAGCAGCGTGTAGACGGAGTCAGTCGAGGGCAAGCGATGATCGGCAGCTGTCTTCACAATATCCGATGAGGTGACACGGAACGTGCGTGCCATACCCTTCAGAGCCTATTAAAGAGAGAAATTACAAAAATTAGTAAAGAGTTATTTAGCAGTTAAATATTCTCTTCTACTTACCACCATGGCATCCTCATCTGTATTGTCGTCGCCCACGTAGATAATCTTGATGCGTTCGTTCCAGTCGACGCCAAAGGACGTACGCAATATGTAGATGGAAGCCCGACCCTTGTTCCACTGCACAGGTGGACGTGCCTCGAGCGCGCAATGCGCTTCCGTCGCCCTAAATCCATATTTCTCGATCAGGCTGCGCGCCTTGTCGACCATGTCCGCGCGCAGCTGGGTGGGTGTCTCGCGGTAATGGAAGGTAAGCAGCGAGCCTTTGTTCTCCACCCAGGCGCCATCGCGGCACACCGAATCCTGCAGCGCCTTGAGCAATAGACTCACCTTGTCCTCATACTCAATTGGCATGGGATGGACAAATTTACTGCCATCGGGATGCAGAATCTCTAGACCGTGATTGCCCGCATAGGTGATGCCTTCGATGCCCACCATTTTCTTGACATTATCGACGTTGCGTCCAGAGATGACGGCCACGTAGACATCCGAGTGATTAGACAGCTTGAACAGCACATTCTTAATCTCAGGCGAAAGCGTGGCCAAATCTGGATGAGGAGCAATGGGCGCCAGAGTACCATCGTAGTCCAGCAACAGGGCAAGCTTGTGATTGTAGCCGATGTATCTGAAGGGAGGAAACGAGAGTCAGTGCATCAACAAGAGAATATCAAAAATGCACTCACTTGAGTAAGTAGTCATCGAAGTCGTCCACGGAGACGGGCTGCATAATGGTGGTGCCCACGTCGTCCATTTCCAGAGCACCCACGGCCTTCAGGAAGCAGCGCATCCAGTGGCTGACATCGCATTCGGCCTCTCGACGACGTAGACGCGCCATACGCAGCACTCGCTCATCCTCGGGCATGGTCAAGGCACGATGAATCACCTCAGCGGCTTCGTTCACCTCGTACGGATTGCAGAGCAACGCCTCGTGCATCATTTCACCGGCGCCGGCAAACGGCGAAATGACCAGCACGCCGGGCACTTCGTTAATCTGGCAAGCGACAAACTCCTTGGCCACCAGATTCATGCCATCGCGCAACGGGGTGACCAGGCAGACAGCGGCATCGCGATATAAGGCGGCCAGCTCGTCCTGGCTCACATAGTCGTAGATGTATCGAATAGGCGCCCAGTTGGCAGTGGTGAAACGGCCATTGATGCGTCCGACTAGTTGGTCCACTTCCTCCTTCAGCTCACGGTATTCCTTGACGTCTGTGCGAGAGGGCACAGAGATCTGCAGCAAGCTGACCTTCTCCTTGTGCTGTGGATACTTGAGCAGCAGCGCCTCGAACGCCATCAGACGATGCACCAGGCCTTTGGTGTAGTCCAACCGATCGACGCCGAGAATAATCTGTTGCTTGGAGGTTTTCAGCACCTTGGGTGCATTCTGGGCAAGATTGACAAAGCGCTCGTAAGGTATACCAATAGGCAGTGGACGGATGCGCACAGTGCGACCGCCATGCTCCACCAGCAGGTTGTTGCGATCCACACGACAGCCCAGATTGCGTTGGCAGCAATCCACAAAGTTGAGGCAGTAGTCCTGGATGTGGAAACCAACCAGATCGCAGCCGAGCATGCCCTGCAGTATCTCATCGGACCAGGGCAGCAGACGGAAGATGTCCCATGGTGGGAAGGGTATGTGCAGGAAGAAGGCCAATCGACAGGGCAGATTCTTCTCCTCGGCATGCTCACGCACCCAATTGGCGGCCAACATCAGATGATAGTCGTGTATCCAGACGATTGGTGGATTCTTCTCGCTTCCGTTGTTCTTGGCCAGACACTTCTCCAGCGCCTCGATGGTTCGCACGGCGAAGTGCTTGTTCACGGCCACATAGTCGTTCCAGTGCTCGCCCCCGAAGTTCGCACGTCCCGGCATCGAGTGGAAGAGTGGCCAGAACATCTTGTTGCAGCAGCCATTGTAGTAGCTGTCAAAGATCTTGGAATCGATGTTCACCGACACCACTTGGTCGGACTTCAGGCCCGCTGTTGGCGTCTGATCGTAGGGATTCGATTCGGGTATCGCCTCATTGGGATCCTCCAGATGTATGCCTGCCCAGCCAACCCATAAGCCGCTGCCTTTGATAACAACCGGACAGACTGCCGTAACGAGACCTCCAGCACTGCAATGGATATGATTGAATGGGGTTCAGTTAAGTAGATATAATGTGTATAACTTAGAATAAGTCAATAAGTCAATCTGATCAACGGAGAGCTACCAATTGACACTCACTGATTGACGTGCTGATTGGATGACTCGTCCTCAGAGCAACTAACCACCTAATCAAGTGTCTGATTGACTAGTTAGCTATCTAATTATCTGCCTCACTATATAATGGATTACAACTTGGCTAAAATCTACTTTGTCATAACTCTGTAACAATCCATAAAAAAGGAAAGTATCCAATCCCACCTACTGTGGGATTGACCCAATTGACTGATATTTAAATTTTTTTGAGAGTTAAGGATTAAGAAATTCGAAATTAATAATTTTAATGCCTATTTATTGACTAATCGATTGACTAATTGAATGATTGTCAGTCTGTACTGGCAAACATGTATTTTAAATGTTTATGGATGGTTCAAGGTAGTACAGATCAATGAGCACAAACATTAGACACGGGCAAAACCGGACAATACCTGCTATATACACACTTATGCATATACATATATGTCCGTCATATATATGCAACAGATTCAGACCCAGCCCCATTTTTTATGCAGAGTGCATCACAATGACACCGACGCTAACCGCACTGATAAGAAATATACCATAAAAAACAGGCCCAGCCTGATACGGCGTAAGTGTAAATAACCTCGACTCTGGCTCAGAGACCAAAAACAATACTAAATAAAAAAACAAATAAAAATTAGTGTATAAAAAATAGTACCCCAATTCAGTTTTTGGGTAGGGTCAGTTTGAGAGCGAACAGAACTAGATTAGCTTGAGTGCACGTGATATTGCTTCTTCTTTTGCGATTTTTTCAGTGTCAGGTTCGCTTCGTTATGAAAGCCTTGAAATGACGCCTATAGTAATGACCCCTTTTAAAGCAATATTGCCTCGACGTCTTCGTCGTTAGGCAGCAAGGGTCAAAACCGCCTAATGGGCTCTCAGAGATAAGGTCTAGCTAGCTCGCTCATATTATTGAATTTGTTTTCTAATTTCAAATAAAGTTTACTAGACTTTGCATTTCAAATACCACCCTCTCGTTCTCTATCTCTCTCTTTCTGTGTATTTTGCGTTGATAAGACAGTTGACAGCCTTATTATGAGAGACGCTAATCACATGAAGCGTGTGGAAACAATATCACGATTATATGGACCGCTGTTAGGTAGGTATTTCAGTTCCCTAATGAGGGGGCTGTACTCCTCTCGTCTTATCACCAATGCAAATTGAATTGGTTTAGTTTTCGAAACAAAGTCTTGAAGCGTTGCTTGCTTTCAAGTTTCTCTCTCTCTCCCTCTCGTTTTACGAGATTTCGATTAGCTCGTTCGCTGCCAATATTTATATTATAATTTATGTTATTAATCTGTAGTGTTTTATAGTTTTGTTTTTCGATGTAAGGCATAGTACAGTCCTATGCGTACAATGAACTTTTACTGTTATTTTTGGCTACGCAGTGTTGGAAAATTACACAAAAATCTGTTAGAGATAGTTGAATTTAAAATGTTACGGAATTCTGTTGATTAAAACCGAAGTTGAACCATTAGAGATTTAAAAAGCATCCGAGAAAGTTTCTTGAAAAGCCAATTTTTTCTTATGTGCACTCTTTTTTTAGTTTTCCAGCAAACACTTTGTATCTAAAATTATTATTATTATTTTTTTTAATTATTTGAGTTAACTTAGCGAAAATATATTTTGTAAAAATATTCACATCTTTTTAATTTGATAGAAAAATTTTAAAATTATCAATGTTCAAAGATTAGGCAAATTTTGTAAACATCACATATATTTTCACGAACCGAAACTTATTTTCGTTATTTAATTAATTATATTTGTAGATTAAAATTATCACTTATGTTGAGCAGATTTAAAAATAATAAAATTTATTTTATTTCTTAAATATATTCTTAAAATCTCTATGTTAAGCTTTAAATTTTGCCACACTTTATTTCTGCCAAAACTTTACATAAAACAAATTTGAAAAATTTTTTTTTTCAGTTTG